ATGGTGCCTGGGATGGAGGGGTTTCATATGACAAGAGGCTGAAATCTTTCAAATGTTTTTGATCTGATTGAGGTGTTTAAGATTGTAAAGTAAATAGATAGTGTTGATGCATCATCTTTTTTCATATTTAACAGTGAGATTAGCAGGACGAGGAGACACAAGTATAAATTTTGGCAAGGTAGGAGTCATCTTCAGCTAAGAAAGTTTCATTTTACTAACAGGGTGGTTGGCCTTTGGAATGGGTTGCCTTCAGATGTTGTAGAGACAGTAAATTTAAGTGAGTTTAATAAAAAGCTTGATAAGTATATGAATAAAAAGGGCTGGGTTTAAAATTTTCTTATTTTATTTTATTAAATCATTTTAATTTAGTTTTGAGGAAGGAACAGCCTAGATGGGCCAATAGGTCCCACGTTGTCCCAAAATATTATGTAACGCCATGTTATGATAAAACATAAAGCATAATTTCCCATAACTCTTCATGGTTACTTTTAAATGAAATTTTCTAACCAGTAAATAATGATATGTATATGATAGAAGATTTTCAACTCAGACTTGGTAACAGAACGAATAAATTCCCTATATTAAAACTAATGCATTAAAAAAGGTTCTTAGCAACTTATATTGAACATTTCAGTTAAATGTAAAAATCTATGAGAGATTGAGATATGTGAATACATCACACATTTCTAGCTTCTTGTACATTACAACATTTATTCTGGAAAAAAAAATATTTGCAATTAGAGGCAAGTAATACCATAAACATTTTATGAACTGATTAAGAAGAAAGAATAGCAGTCACTCACATCTAACATTAGAATACGGAAACTAACAAGATTAGTATTTAGGATTTATGTAGAAATTGACAATTTACCTGGCTTGACTACCCGGATTAATTCAGGAAAGATTGACGAATCACAGTGATTTGGGCAAAATACTGCATTCATCACAACAGCAGTGTAAGTATCTGAAAGTTAAAAAGAGATATGAATAGGTTATATAATATGTTCATCCAGACTGACTAATAAAATGTTTAATGTGAATATACAGACAATCTTAACATTTATGCCAATGATAATTAAAAATAACACCAAGTACATTTATCTCTCTTTTGAACCATCCATCAAAATGACTAATTTATTTACAGAAATGGAAAAAATAAGAGAGTGTAGTAAGCTACAATTTCAGTATTATAACTTACTTGTTTACTAGAGGGAGCTGCTAATAATGATGGTGAGGATAGATCAAGGAAGTTCGTTAAAGTATTCCTAAAAAGTTCACGATGATCTAATAATTCAAATATTTCATGGAATTTGGTAAAGTGAGAGTACATTATAAATGAGTAATCAATGTGATAATGAGTACTCAGTGAGCTTATGCATTCAGTGACAGAAATTTATTCACAGTTCAGCATTAAAAGTGAGATTTAATGAGTATTAGTAAGAACATTCTGCAAGTTTATTTGTGAGTTAGGTATATGTACCATAATCTTGAAATTTCTGTTGAGACATTATTTGTGCACTTAGGCTGACAACTAAAAGTAGCTTGTAGAAAAGGCCACGGAAGAAATAAGTTAATTTGTTTTTGTTACATGCAATCGATTTTGTGTTATTTGTACCAATTAGTCTAAAAGAACCTGTCTAACAAGTACACACTATTCTGTCAAATGCCACCAACTTTGATAAAGCAATTCTTCATTTTGTGTTTGTTTTCATTACCTTTGGTAGCTGTAATAGAATTTACTGTAGAAGATTTTAAAATTTCTGTATAATATTTAAATTAACTTTGTTAGCCATAAACACAAGACTGGTTTTAACAGAAGTCTAAGATTTTTTTTGGAATAACTGAAAACAAAATTATTAAAATACAGATCAAATCTCAAAGAGTTCCAGAAAATAAATTAACCAACATATATGTGAATAGTAGCTTATTATTTTAGGCACTTTATTGTGTGTGTGTGTGGTTCAGAAAAACTTGTCATCTTACATATTCTTCGTTTAGCCATGTTGTTTTCATTAAGACAGTATTTTCCAACAACTTACCTACAGTAACATTTTCTTTCCTCTGGTATTTTAGTTCTTTCCAAAAACATTTGTTAAAACAACCTCAGCTCGAAGATAGATTGTTAGAAATATTTAAAAGATATGTTATTTTTCTCAGGGAAGCATCATTTATTAAATACTTGATAAAAACTTTGGGACTTACCATTCTCAACATTAGGAATACGAACTCCATCCTTCAGAATAATATGGATGAGATTATGGTAGATATTTTTAGTTTTGGCTATTTCCAACATTTGTTCACTTCCATCTAAAGCATCAATGTTAGTGTATCCATGCTTTTGTAGCTGAAAATGAAGATAAAAAATATTATATTAATCAAATTACTTTTTTTAAAGAATGAAACATTGTAAAAGTGATGATGAGCTAGTAATCTGAAAATATTTCAACCAGTTTGCCTGCAGAGATATTTCTTTACATGTTTTAATTCAACAAGGTCTGATAGTTTATTTTCTAACCATGTTGTTCTGAAAAGGTAATAACATAATAACATACAAGTTTTACTATTTTTAAATATCATGATAGAATTAAGATAATGTTCAAAAATCACACTAAAATTAGTCTTCAAAATCACACATAACTAAGATAAATGTACTTTTGTTTGATAATATACCCTTCATAATTGAAAACTACAAGCAAGAAACAATGCTAAATTAACAGTTTAAAGAAATCAAAAGTCCATATTACATGCATATGTACAAGAAGATACCTTTAATTTAAATAGCATTTCTGCAGGGACAGCATCATCTCTATCAAATATTTTATTTTCCTAAAGGGTTTTTTTTTTTTTTTTTT